TGAGTCACATAGCCTTAAAATAACCGAACCCAGAAACTTGCTGTGGACCCATCAGGAAGGTTTCTTCTTGAATAATAAGGCTGGAAGGGAAGGGAAGATGGACCAGCTATTTCATTCTTCTCCCGGCACAAAGGTTTCTGAATGTCAAATGTGAAACTCTTCTACATTCAGTTGGAATTTCGCTCAGAATCTCCAGTCCCCAGGGTGTGCGTTTCTTGTCTGTACCTGTCAGCCTCATTGTTATATATTTTAAATAAAGCTTTCCCTAACATTCAAAACTCCTTCCGGCCCTTCCTTTTAGGAAACAGACATAAATAAAGTGTGTACTGGGCCTTTGCATTTTCATTTTCTTTTAACCTTTTCCCAACCCTGCTCTCTGCCCCTCGCGTCCCCCCCCCCCCAACCCTTCAGAAGTGGAAAGCCAAGGTAAAAAGAGCTTTCAAGGGGGCGCGGTGGGCCCCCTCTGGGGAAGTATGCAAATGACAGAAATGTCTATGGGAAAATTAAGGGAGGCGAAATTCAGCAAGAAAGAAATTCATTGATGTTGTGATGAAACGTTGTCACTGGAGATGATGACAAATTAGAGCCCGTTCCCATGGGGACCAGCACACTACCTACTGATCATTTGACCTGCGACTGGATGCTGGCTAGCCCAAGGATTGACCCCAAAGATGACAAGATGGTTTTGGTGCCGTTGTCTCATCAGCATTCAGAAACCCCTTAGGGGATGAAGGGGAGAGGATCAAGAAGGATAAAAGATGAAAGCTGAGCTCTGCAGAGAGGAGTGTGTTTAATTACACTGAGGAGGATGGTGGGTCCACCTGTAGCTCTTTGTGGAGCACGTCTTTGTTTGCTCCTGTCCATGGGGATCGGGGCAGGATACAGACCCCTTTTGGAAGGCGACATGCTGGGAACTGGCCCTCTTCAGTTTGACAGCGAGAGCCCGGATTTAGTCTCCCAGTGGGCTCTGTAATAGATTCTCTTGTGCTTTGCTGAGCAACGTGGGCTTGGCTGGCATGCTAAGAGATTGCGCTTTGAGCGGGGCGGAAATCCCTAGTGGACCTGGGGTCGAAGTTTCCATAGAGCACCTCCTGGGAGTCCCGAGTCTCTGACCCTGCATCTGCCTCAGTGTAGTCACCTGTCACAGGGGAGTTCTACCGTTCTTATTACCCTAGGAGGACAAATAGTCGATGAGGGTGGAAATACCGGGAAATGTCTTTGAATTCCGAAGTTGGACTCCTGTTCTCTTCTGTTCTCTTTTCACGTTGCAAAGAAAACACTCTTGAGTAACCAACCGGATCAACGACTTACCATTTCAATTACTCTGATGTGGCACATAACACAATGAACCAAACACCAAGCCGGTGGCCCTCAGGCTCATGGTGGCGCAGTATGTGCCGGGTAGAACTGATCTCCATAGCACTCTCCAGGCTGGAGCCTTTCAGAAACAGAACACCAGGCCTTTCTTCTGAGGGACCTCGGGGTGGGTTCAAACAGACAACCTCTGGGTTAGTTAGACAAACATTTAACCTTTTTTGTTTTTCTCTTTGCGCCACCCAGGGACTGAACTGCAATGTTATCGTCAGGTGTCATTGAGTTACTTCTGATGACAGCGAGGACCCCAGGGGATAAGAGTAGAGCAGTGGTTCTCCAGTTTCCTAAGGCGGCGACCCTTTAATACAGTTCCTTGTGTTGTGGTGACCCCACCACCACCCTCAGCCCCCAGCACACACACACACACACACACATACACAACTTCATAACTAATTTTGCTACTGTTAGGAATCAGGCGACCCCTGTGAAAGGGTGGTTTTACACCCACCAGAGTTGGAGGTTGGACGTTTGTTGTCTGCCATCTTTTGGGAAGCAGATCTCCAGGTTTGCTCCTGCTGAGCTGCTGCTGTGTTCCCAATAGCAAAGCGAAGCCCTTAACCATGTACACCGCCGTCGTGTTGATTTCAGCTCCTAGCCACCCCGTCGGTCAGCGTAGACCTGTCCTTGTGGGTTTGCGAGCCTACAGAAGTAGAAAGGCTAGCCTTTGGAGCGACTGGTGGTTTCGAACTGTGGACCCTGTAGGCAGCAGCCCAATGTGGAACTCCCTGCGCCACCAAGGCTCCTGTAGTCAGTTAATGTTAGGTGGGGAAGGGAGAACTCACTATTTCCATTTGGCCCTATCCCCTCCCCATTTTTATTGGTACAACCTGAGCTAAGGTGATTTGAAGACGGACTCACCTGCAGCTGCCAACCAGGGCACATGTGTGTTGGCCGCCTTCGTATAGGATGGGAGCCTGTCTCGAACAAGTGGGTAAACACTCCCCGAAGGATAGGCAGAGTTGCCTTATGACGTGGCCTTGAAGGATATCTCCACACTCTCTTTAGAAAAGCCACTCACTACAAGCTGACCCAGATTCAAATAGTAGGTATGTGAGCAATATAGACTCCTCACTTCAGTGGAGAGTTGTTGAAAGAAATTAGAGCAAAAAAAATTTTTTTAAGGTACACTAGGATTATGACTATCTTGGGACCTGTTAGGGCGCCTGACTTAGACCTACTGCAGAGTTTCTTCACTCTGTAGACCAAGGGTTGACAAATTTCTTCCATCAAGTGCCAGAGAATAAATATTTGAGGGTTTGTGGCTGTCAGGTGCCTGTCACAACTACTTAGCTCTGCATTACAGCATGAAAGCACCCTAGACTAGACATAAACAACAACAGAGCATGACTCTGTTCCAATTCATCTTTATTTATGAACACCGGTGTTTGGATGTCATATAATTATGGTGTGTCACATATTTTTAACCATTAGAAATTTTAAGAACCATGCCTGGCTCTTGGGCTAACTAAGGACAGGGTGGGCCAGATTTGTGCCACCTAACTATGTTACATTGATCTAGATTTTCCTTTTCAATTGTGACCCTTCTTCAAACGTGTAGAGGAAATCCCTTGATATTTGCCATATGGGGTTCAGCAAGGTTTGTGTGTGCACTGAGTATTTCTGTGTATACTTATGTGTAGTAGAGAAATGGTTACATACTCTGCCTTTATTTTAAAATAAATTTACAGTGCTAATAATACAGCTACTTCAAGCACACCTCACTTTCATCCTGTTACAGAACACTTGTGTCCCAGAGCAAGCTAATGGAAATGTACATTTGGTTTTCAAAGCTGGGGCTGCTACTCTGTCTCTCATCTTCTGGTGGTGAGAGCCTTGGGAAGAGAACTGTCTTCCAAAGCATGTCCCCACATCTGCTGCCAAGGAATGACTGGCCCTGGGTTTGTATTTGGCCTGCATTTTAAGGAACTCACGCTCCATGGGCTGTCTCGTTTGCATTCGCTGGGAAAGGGAAATCGACACGCCAAGCTGTTGGAATGTGTTAGTAGATCTCCCCCTTTAAGGCGCCATTTTGAATTGGTGGAGAACTGAATTATACCTGAGGACCTATTGGGTCGAATTAAAAATGGTAATGATTATCCTTGCTTTTTCCTTAACTTGAGGTTTCTCACCTTGGGCACTACCGACATATTTGACTAGGTAATTTGCCATTGTCGGGGGCTGCTCTGAACATTTTCGGTGTGTAATAGCATCCACGGTCTTGACCCACTATATGCCAGTTAACCCCCTTCTCCCAGTTGTGATAACCCCAAAATATTTCCAGACATTGCCAAGTCTCCCCAAGAAGAGAGGGGTGCAGAATTGCCACAGGTCTAAATTAAGATGGAAAACCAAAGGGGGCTGTATATTTTATTGCTATACCATCAATAAGGAAGTCCATTATTTTTTAATAGTAAGAACTGTAGGGCAGAGAATAGAATAATTTATGGACTTTGTTACTCTTTAAGGCACACAAACCTCCCCCTGAAAAATACTAAAATCTGAACAGCAAATTATTTAAGTAAACATTACCTTCATGCTATTTTGGTAATGTCCAGAAATTGCCCATGTTTTAGTATTTGTACAACTTCTAGCAAGAGTGAGAGGCTAGGCTATTTACGGTTCAGGGATATTGCTGGAACAAATTCAGATTTTAAAACTGGCTTGGAAGTAACAGATGAAGAGACCCTGGTCTGGGTTCATGTTCTTAGCCTGCAAGCTATTGGATTGTTCGAGATGCATGACCCAAAGGAGGTGATCAGTTCTCCTCTGGTGTGCTGATAATGAATAGCTCTACAAAACCAATTAGCTATAATTCTATCAGTCATTTCATTTCATTTGGGCAACATTTCGTTTAAGGGGGAAGAAAAACAACACTGCTTTCTTGGGAGACCTGTAATTAAGCTGTGGTATTTGACGGGCACACTGGCGGGAGAAGCAGTGCGGTGATGAATTTACCTTTGTTATTCCCACATGAAAGTAAATCATGATAAAGTGTTCTGTTCATAGCAGTTAAGATAGTTGTCGCTCTTAAAGGTATAACAGACCAAATGAGTCTATGTCTAACCGGAGAGTTTGTTTTATACGGCTGTCTGCTGGTGCAACTCCAGGGAATGGCCGTTCACGTTGACGGCAGTCTAAGTGGAGCCCCCTGGAGTTGTGCAGCAGGAAGAGTGCCGAATATCTTTTCTCCTGCCTTCATTGGTTCCCCTCCTACAATTCACTGGAAACCCAGTGTCGTCATAGACGAGACCTCTTCTCCTTGACCCTTTCTATTACCCCGACTGTAGTCATATCAGTAGTCTGTGTTTTCTTTTAAAACCCAGCATTTTAATGGTAGGTATTTGTTCTAAGTGAATCGGAACATAAGAGACCTCAGTAATGCTCCAGCGTGTGCTGTAAGACAGATGATACTATTTTATTGTTGACGGCATAGACTTCTGTAACTGGTGGGCATTTTGCATTTTATCTCAACCCGCGCAGTGGGATAAGACGTGAGCATAGCTTGTTTGTTTCCTCTGACGTGTAGTATCTGCAGCTTTCGACACAAATGAATACGCTTGTTAGAAAAAGAACAATGGGTTATTGTCTTGGGCTTACCATTAATTTTGTTCACTCTTGTCCCACAGCTAGCCAAAAAAATCCGAGAGAAGTTCAATCGTTACTTGGATGTGGTCAACCGGAACAAGCAGGTTGTAGAGGCATCCTACACGGCTCATCTGACCTCGCCCCTGACTGCGATTCAAGACTGCTGCACCATCCCGCCCTCCATGATGGAGTAAGACTTTACACTGGTTTCCGGGGGTTGGTTTAAATTGGGAAGTGTTTCTTATACTTTCTAATATCTTAAATCCCTTTTGTGTGATTTCGTATATAATTTATTTCCTATCTTGAATTAAACCTTTATTTTATTTATTTATTTCAAAATCAAGCCTTTTTTTAAAAAAAGAAGATGGCTCAACGTTGAATTGCCAGTAAGCTCCCCAAACCCCCCTCCTCCCTTTTTTGTCATGCTAGGATTCAAATTCAGGAGTAGAGATTATTGCTAGAATGTACACACTCCCACCGAGTCATTTTTGACTCATAATGATCTGTAGGAGAGAGGTGAGCAGGAGGGTTTCTGAGCGTAAATCCCTGCAGAAACAGGAAACCTCATCTTTGTCCAGAGAATCAGCTGATTGTGAACAGCCCAATGTGTAGCCCACCATGTACCCAGAGCCCTTGACTGTGGAGTCAGTCAAGTTCACAAAGTTGTAAATGTAGTTATAAGTCAACTAAGAAGCTGTAAGACAACTTTTCTGGTCTGGTAATGGGTTCAAGTTAGGGAATGTCTGGCAGTTCGGTGGGTTAAGCAATGAGCTGTTTGGTCGATAGTTTCGAGTCTACCTGCTTTGTGGGGGAAAAATGATACAGGCTATGTCTGTAAAAGATCTACAGCTTTGGCTGGTCTGTGAAGCGGTCCTACTCCATCCTTTAAGGTACTTCAGAAGTTAATAGCAGTGGGATTGGCTTGGCAATTCCTGATGAAGAATTCTTCTTACTTAAGTAGCTATTGCAATTAAAGCTATAAGAAAAAACTGAGGTTTAAGATAGTATTGAAATGAGACTAGTATCTGGATGGTTGGGAATGTTTTTACTGATTGACCTCAAAACTAATATTAATAATAGCAATAATCAAGGAATTTACTGCTATCAGATCAACCCCATGGTACAGGGTAGAACTGCCTGTGTGGTCTCCTGCAGCTGTCACTCTGTACGGGACATAATTTAACGTATCACCTCTCTTTAGTGGCGAGTCTGCCTCTGCCATTATACCTACATTTGTCCCCCAGCACCTGACAATCTTAAGTGGTTAATAACTATTTCCTAGAATTTGAATTCAGTTAAATATAATAAGGAAGGTTCTACTTTCAAGGCATTTATAAATTATTGGTGAGGTGAGGGCAGATAGCAAACCTAATGAAATTGGGCAGAGACGGTGGGTGGGGGGTGGGGTGATCCCACTACCAACAAGGCTGTTTCAGCTCCTAGTAACCCTGTAGGACAAAGTAGATCTAAGCCTTAGGGTTCATGAGACGAAGTCTCTATAGGAGTAGATAGCTTCTTCTATCTTCCCCAAAATAGTTGATGGATTTGAACCCATGACCTTTGGATTAGCAGCCCAATACTTAAACCCACTATATCACCTTATTGTACATATTAGGTAGGGTAAATGTTGGCATAGCTGAAAGGCACAAGGGAAGAAATACAGCAGGTGTGTGGCATAAGGAAAAAAAAATCCATGTCCTTCAAATATATGTCTTATTTGATTTGGCCATATGTTAGATTATCACAAGAAAATAACTAAGTCAATTATGTCTATAAAAATAAAGTCATCCATACCCTTAT